TTTGTATATCGCCTAGTGGGTAGACGTTCTTCCGTCATAGTCATTGCAACAGGAGGGACCACATTAGAAAATCGCTAAGCTTCATTAGCTTGCCTTACTTATAACCATTTTCTAAAAAGTGGGCCCACATTGTTCCCGTCTTATAGTGATCGAAACAGGAAGGCCAACATTTGTAAATCGCTGGGTTTCATTGGGTTGACGAAGTCATTTAGGCTAGTGGGCTCACATTTGTCATTACTCTGCATGGGTATGTGACATTAAATATTATTCTTATTTTGTAAAAGTGATGGGAAATATCTTTATAAATCATTTCGTGTGTCGTTAATTCCACGAAAGGCACAAAAGTCTTTGAAGTTTGAATAACGTCATCATAGCTGACCACACTAGTTTTACAAAAATAGTTACAAAGCAAGAAACTTAGATCTACTTCAAATTAAATTTACAGGGGCAATACCACTCATTCTACTTTTTCCAGTATAACACATCAATCTTATCATAAGCGTTGGTGGCGATATAAGCCTGAAAATATGTCTACACTTGAATTGATCTCGGACATGATACAAGCCTCAAACGCTTCCGAGAACTTGTTCCATATAGGAATAACTTCTGAATACTAATGACCCCACGACCTAGTTTGGCGATGTTCGTAGAAGTGTGTTCTGCTATATTGCCATCGCATTTGTACATTTTAATCCAATTATAAGTCATAATACTTATTTAAAAAAGACAAAATAGCAGTTCGTAATGCGGGTTTGTTTACGTAGTACATCATATTCTCAAGTTTAGTTTCGAATGTGGGCCCACCTCGAACGTTCGATTAGGCAGACAGAGTTAGCTCCCTTCTCGAACCACCGAAAATGCGGTTTCGCCTCCTTCACGGCTATGTTAAAGGCCATCAGATGTGTCGCCACATGGCGTGTTGTTCACTCTGAAATGGTGAAATGGCGAATATGTAATGACGAATATGTTGTTTGGGCTGAGTCAGGTACATTACAAGGTCGACTGGACCTGGATTTCCATGGCACAAGGATTGAGAGTGACAGGTCAGGTTTTACGATCCCATTGCAACCTGCGTCGGTTGAGGACATGGACCCTGTCACAAGGGTAATATAAGAGACGATACTGCAACTGCAAAGGTGTCAGTGGACAATCTGTGTTTCTTACACTGTCACGTCCCCACAAAACGATCAACACTAGAACAGTGGCTTCTGTTCAGAAAGTTGCTCTGGATCGGGTTGGTCTAAGAAGTTTATGATTTAGTACCAAAAGCTTTAGGCAATTTAGGGCTACAAACGTCATCCTGTTTCAAGAGGACCAAAACAAACTCAGTAATGGAAGACCGAGAGCGATATTGATGGATTTATGAGATTATTAACGAAACATTCTCTTCTCCGTTGGGAATAGCTGTCATGTATCTACAACACATGTAATTCATCCTCAACACAATGAAAGCCTCCAGCATGGCAAAATAAAACAGAAGCGCTCGGTATATAGAGTCTTTGTACGGCGGCCGCATTCAAGAGTAAGTCTGAAGTTATTACGACGAAACATCGGTGACATTTTCTGTTGATAAGAAAGAAGGTCACAAGTTAAACAGGTTTCTACTTTTAGTGAACATTTAAACTGAGAATAAGTATTCCAAATTGATGAAGAGTCGAGGGAGTGATGCCAAATTGAAAGAACCAGTCATAAAATCTCTGTTTGAAGATTACAATGATGATACCGATGTTTTGTGACCGCCACAAAAATCCAAAACCATATTTATTAAAATATTTCTTGTATGAGATGCCCAAGCATTTTAACCATTATCATCAAGAGTTTTAATCATTTTATATGCTCGGTGAGGAAGTCAGGGCTGTCGTAACTGGATCAGTCTGCACCAGTATTTAACTGCTCTGTATGTGTGGTGATATTGCATGGAGACTATGTCACACACTCCTAGAACAACATTGCAATTAGTATACTTGTTTAATCTCAGAAATGAGTTCTTAAATATTGTGTGCACACTATCAATGATGTTACAAAAAGCGGTTCCCATATCTCAGATCCATAGCACAGAATAGGTGTGATCATAACATAAAATATGTTAAAAAGATCATTATGACTTATATATAATAAACGCTTCTGGTAGTTGACAACTTTTATTTCGTCTCCATTTAGAAGCCATTTTTTATTTCTGCGAAAGGGGACCTCCATTCCTAAATACCATAATTTTAGTTTTGTTGAGATTTACTTTCATTCCAGTTTCTGCACAAAAACGTTCAAAAACATAAAGTTTCTTTTGAAGCTGTAAAGCCGTGTCAGATACAGATGAGACATCACATGAGGAGATATGAAAACACCTCTTCAACCCTCCTCCTCCAAGATTGTAGCAAGCTATTTGCTGTAAGTTATGAAGATTGGGAGACCCAGGATACATCCTTGACGGGTGCCAATGGTACATTTGAAGTATGGTGATAAGCCAGAATCAGTTTTCACAAAAACATAGTGATGATTACATGTTCACAACAAACTGAAGGATTTACCTTTACCACCAAGGTCAAAGATGCTTTTAAACAATATTTCATGATTTATGCAGTCAATGACTTTGGAGGAGTCAATAAAGAGACAATGACAGCCTCCTTTTTCAAAATAAATATTTGTTGATCCTAGCTTTCAATGTAAATATATGGTCCGTGAAGGAATAATTTTGTCTATGTCCAGCTTGTGATTCTGTTATCACACTAATGTTGCAGTCTATTATTTATACCTGGAGTCAGATTCTTGCACAAGGAGTTAATCAATGAGAGTCCTCTAAAGTTGCTTGGGCCAAGTTTACTGCTAGATTTATGTATATGGCAAATAATGCTTCTGCTCCAAATGCCACTATCATACAGTTTATTAAATAGGGACTATATAGTTCCTCTTGGATGAAACAAATCACTTGCTATTCCATTTGGACCAGATGATGTGCCGCTTTTAATATTTCTCAAACTGGAAGACACTTCTTCCTATGTAACAGGTTCGTTTGATTCACCAAATAACATGAATATATCTAGACTCTTGAATGTGTGCTGTATTTGCTTCATCAGTTGACGTTCTTTTTTTAAGGAATGTTCTTACGAGCTCGTAAGTTCGCTAATTTATTCACAGGTCATGGTAATATTAAGTAGGTATAACTTCTCTATTAAGGCAAGTTAATAAACGACGTTGGAATTAAGTGACGTTCGTTTCCTTCTAACTGTAGTCTATATTTCATCAAAAGAGAAATAATTCTTACTTCCTCATCTGGAAGTAGCTTCCAGAGTTTGCTGTTTTGCCAGGTGTCAAAGATGAGTTTTCAACTTTATTCCTGTTGTGTGCAATGCGGTTTTTCAGGGCATTTACACACATGCAGGATAAGGCACTTTATGTACTTGGTAAGCGTAAGAATTGAGTGACATTAGTTTTACCTAAATGACAGATTGTAAGAAGGATATGCAATTTCTCCGGGTTACCCTTCTGTATGATTTCAAATGCCAGTTCGCCCACCAATGAAAAGTGCAAAATCACATATGTATCATAACTATTTTGTTAATATATACATCTTTACCGTTTTCTCAGATTTCAGGGTTCCATAGGAACATCTTCACAATATTTAATTTGTTGTTTTGCGTCGCTCTCATATGATATATGATATGTACTACCGACAAAACAAAGGAAGGTGAAATGATGATAAGTGTGATGAAATCTATTTATATTTCAGAATATATACAATTAAGTAAAACATACACTAATTACTGTCACAAAATCCAGTAGTCTCTCTGATAGCGCAGGGCCGGTTCGTCTAAAAACGGCGGTATTCGGTCACACTACAGAGTGGTTCCGTTGGCAATGGAGCCAGTTGGCTCATATTCCACCAGTAATCATCAGGTTAATGTTCAACATAACTACAGATCGGGATTGCCCTCTTGGTTCATGCAATCTGTAAATAACACTGTCACCGTGAACCACTATTTCGGCAATAGGAGATGTCACGATGATTAAAAGAAAGCACTGCAAATATACAACAGGTTGTGATGAAATTAAAAACATGTATATATCTACATGTACATGGGTTTATTTCATTAATTCTTTTTGAAAAACCATGTATTTTGTAATCATTAATTTGATCTAGTCAAGAATATAAGTAATTATTTTGACCTTTTAGTATGATGTTTGTCTCTACATGTGACGAGAGTTGCGTCCCTTGGGCACGCCAGAAACCTATGATTGTGGGTTCGAATCCCGGTTATGTTTCTAGGTTTGTCAGCACCATACCCGTGCTCGTGGGTTTCACCGAAGTGGCAAACGTCAGACACCTGCATCACTTCGGGCTTTCCTCCCACGTTAAGCTGACACGCCGTGATATAACTGGAATACTGTTAAAAGCGGGGTTAAACCCAACTCACTCAATCACTGACTCACTTTTTCTGTACGTTCGACGATAGACGACCTCTTTACTCATGTGCAAGTACGCGTCCAAACAGAGCACCGTTTTCAAAGCGTCTGGCAGAATGGGGATAAACCTCCTATATTGAGTAAAGCGCTCGATTCAAAACTAAAATAAGAGGTATCTCATCTACAGTGAGACTACCTCAAATTTAGGTTTATATCCTAAGTGAAATTGTTACAAATGTTGGGCAGGTTAGTTTACATTCGTCACGGTCATTCTTAGTTGTTTGTTTTCAGCTATTTCATCTTTTACATCGTTCTAATCAATTCAGACCTACCAATCAACGACTGTGGTGAACCCCCGCCGAGTGCCAATACTTACAGGACATTCCCTTGTTCTAAACAATTAGGTCATTCTTAGTTGTTTGTTTTCAGCTATTTCATCTTTTACATCGTTCTAAACAATTCAGAGCTACCAATCAACGACTGTGATGAACCCCCGCCGAGTGCCAATACTTACAGGACATTCCCTTGTTCTAAACAATTAGGTCATTCTTAGTTGTTTGTTTTCAGCTATTTCATCTTTTACATCGTTCTTATCAATTCAGACCTACCAATCAACGACTGTGGTGAACCCCCGCCGAGTGCCAATACTTACAGGACATTCCCTGACAATAACACTGTGGAGTACAGATGTATCGACACCTACATTCTGTCATCAGGCGACCTCGTCCGGCACTGCGTCAATGGACTGTACACTGGGACCACACCCGTGTGCATCGGTAGGTTATATTATGTACTCTTTTAAATTTGCTTAGCATGTTTTTTGCAAATTTGACATTTTAATCGCGTGAATAGAATTTGTGATTCAGAATAGAAATTGCATAATACGACATTTACATTATTTTAATTGAAGACATCCATTAATCAAAACTAATGCTTCATTGCACAAAGTCATGTGAAATGGGGTTTAACGTCGCGTTCAAGATTATTGCACTTATATAGCGACGTGCGTGCGTGCGTGTGTGTGTGTCTGCTTGAACTAGTCCGGACTGATGTCGATTTATAGTGCTTGCCCACTGAGATACCATGCCGCAGTTTAACATGAATACTCCACTCAGACACAATATACTGACTCCGTGCCAACCAGTCCTTGTTTTAGCCCCTAATGCCGAGCGCAAGACAGGGTAACAACAAGTACAATCTTTTAACGTTTTTTTGGTATAACGCGGCCGGGGATAGAACCCCGAATTACGACTCTATTAACATTAAAGGTAATAACTAGTTGACATTATCCCCATACATTCTCACGTTCAAAGTTTCTGAGAGCGCTCTCTTTTGAACCTGAGTCACTTCAAAACATGCCTCTTTATTAGCATCGTCAATACATCACGGGTTTGTATACCCTACGTTCCTCCATCACCCGTCAATACAGCAGCTCTGTGGTGTAGTCCTGGTGTCTTCCCATTGTGCCTACAGCCCCATTCTGCCTACAGTAAAACATGAAATGATACGGTTTGATACTCAGAAAGTGATGCACGAGTGAACATGACTGTTATCTGTAACACCTATAATAGGAGATTTCCATACAGACAACCGGAACAGTGTAGGCAACACTTGTGAAATGAAAAAACCTAACACACGGATATATTATATTATAATATAAGACAGAAGAAAAATATAACAATAGTTTGGACAATACTTTCTCATTCAATCAATTAACCAAGGCAAATCATAGAAAGTCTTTGTCTAAAATTGATAAGGTGACCAGTGGCATCTAGGAACTGCATGATTGTCCTTCTTCCATTCGAGATGGTCCTTCAGTCTCATTAACCTGCTGTCCAATTCCTGGTGCACACGTTTTCGGATTTGGGGAAGGGCTCCCAGATCCAGTTGGGCACGCTTTGCCTTGTTCACTGCACTAGGTTCTTTATGTGAGTCACAAAAAGGAAAGATGTAGGTATGGGCCTTGGAGATCCTATTTTTCAGTTGATGTGCCACCCCTCGAGGTTGTTTTTGGTGCGGGGTCCAATAGTTTTCGTATTGACTCAACATGCGCACTTGGAACCTGGCGTCATAGTCAACCCAGGTTGACGTCATGTAGTCATTGAAGGATCTCATCTTCTCGGAGTCAGGGCCTTCCTCAAGATAACTGGTCCTGCAAACTGTGACACACATAGAACGTGTCATCCATGTACCACGTGTCAGCCTCCTGAAGTATGTTCAGCATATCATCAGTATTTAATAACTGTTTAATTCCTCTGCTCAGCTTTTTGAGTTACTAACATTTTATACAGGAACCTGCAACAGTAAAAGCCTGACTTGATTGGGCAACAGCTTTTTAAAAACTATAAGTCAAACAATAGTGGTTCAGTCCATTTACATAAATAGGGATGAAACCGAGTTCCCATTGTGCCTAAATTATTTCTGAAGGCAAATTGGGATGTAGGCAGAATGGGATTAAACCTGGCCTTTAGAGAGTATAACGTTCAAGTGAGACCTGCTCAGAGGTTTTACATTTGAAGTTTTACGATTGACGTTTTATAAACTGGCATTTTGATATGAACATAATGTTGATTCTTATGGAAGCATAGTAGGGCCACGGTGAATTTTTGTATCTAAGTATCTCCTACGTAGGACGTATTATCTTCTACGTAGGACTTACTATCTCCAACGTAGGACTTAGTATCTCCTACTTAGGACTTAGTATCTTCTACGTAGGACTTACTATCTCCTACGTAGGACTTACTATCTCCTACGTAGGACTTAGTATCTCCTACGTAGGACTTAGTATCTTCTACGTAGGACTTACTATGTCATACGTAGGACTTACTATCTCCTACGTAGGACTTAGTATGGCCTAGAATCACTATCTCCTACGTAGGACTTAATACTTCCTACGTAGGATTTATTATCTCATACGTAGGACTTAGTATATCCTACTTATGAGATAGAAAGTCCTACGTAGGAGATAATAAGTCCTACGTAGGAGATAGTAACTCGTACGTAGGAGATAGTGATTCTAGGCCATACTAAGTCCTACGTAAGAGATAGTAAGTCCTACGTAGGAGATAGTAAGTCCTACGTAAGAGATAGTAAGTCCTACGTAGGGGATACTAAGTCCTACGTGGAAGATAATACGTCCTACGTAGGAAATACTTAGACAAAAAGAAATTTTCACCGTGGCCCTACTACGCTTCCGTAGATTCTTGATTGGTCTCAGGTCACAATTTATTTTTCACATGAACATTCCATGACGTGCATGACGTGAAACTGCAACCTCACATATCGTGTTAAGTTTTATTTTGTAACCCATTTTTTTCCCCACTGGGCTCCTTCGCAGGTGATGAAAGGTTTAATTTTACATGTCACGACTTCAGTTGTATGCATGCTGCACTGTATTGTTTTCACTATAAGGTATCCTGATGTTTTCTTATTTTTTCTATATCTATACAAACCCGTGAAGTATTGACCATCAAAGTCTATAAGATTTTCGATTGTCAAACACATCTGAAACACAGCACAAAGCGGGGAAACACACAAAAGCTGCAACATAAAGTAAACATCCACCTGAAAAAGTACATCTAAACCTGAAACAAAACAAGAAAATACAAAGAAATACCACCAAAAAAAAGACATGGAAAATCTAACTATTTATTGATGTAGCATAAGCGACCAAAATACCCGTCTTTCAGTGAACTGTGGCCCTCCCTTGAATAGCAGCTACGCCAGTATTGACATGACGGGAACTAAAGAAGGCGACAACGTGACGTACAACTGTCCCGACGGATCGATTGTATCCTCGACTGTTACCCAATGCAGCGGTACTACGGGATACTGGGAAGCTGGCGACAGGTGCTTTGGTATGTATTGCAGAATTCATCACATCAGACACACGTCTACATTGGGTAGGTATATGGAGGCAGGTGTTATCGGTTAACCCAGTGATTGAATCTAAAGATAAACTCTCATTATTACATCCAAAAGGTTCACAAGAACAAAAGATGACTTACATCAATCTGTTAATCAATTACTGGCAAGAAATGTATTTACTGATGTCACTCTTCAATGGTGAACGATATGTTTTCTTGATTATCCAAAACAGCCATATTATGTACACTATTCAAATTGCCCACGTAAAACAATTGTATGGAGCTTCATGATCATGATTAATGTAACACATGTTATTTGGTCAAATGACTAAAGTACTGTCGGAAATGCTAGAACACTGCTTTTTTCCATTTAAAAAAAGATATAATTTTTCACAGACTGTTGTTATTGAAATATTGAGTAACTGCCGATCGACCTACCTGTGGTTTGAAGTATTTCAGTCACAAGGAGTCCTATAGCTATCGACAAGTTTACAGGAGATAAATTCGAACGAAAACAGGACGTTCACATTTATTCTAAGTCTAATGATGGCAGTCTGAAACGGACTATAGAAATATGCGCACGTAACTCCGTTATAATGATAATAATGTAGTCTTCAACATCTAATCCACACTCAAAAATCATTTCTGAGAAACTTCTAGATGCGCATCATCTAAAATGACAAAATGACGCTGCGTTTGTTTTGTTAACATTGCTCCAATGATGCATGTTACATTACACTTGCATAGCCATAACCATGGTACACGATATTGAGTCTGTACTGGGAAATGTAAACGAGTACTTTACACTTTAGAGAGATGGAGGCAAACCATTTAATAATTTAGATAGGGTGAATTACCGAACTGCCCAAGTTTTCAATTCATACCATCAAGTCTACGGTATGATAAATAAAACAAAACAGGTATAGGGGTGGTCTCAAAAACAAAACTGGGACGTTAAAGGATATTAGACAGCTTTGATACAGAGTGATTAGGCGTAAAGTGTACAAGCTTTATGAGCAGAAGGTAATCCTGACTTGTAGTAGAATTTGGGAGGAATTAAAGATACAATTAATGTTAACTGCACTAACTATTGCTCTCCAAGAGATGGGATTTCGATACACTGCGCGTGGCGATGGCCGAGCACTTTTCAGGGGAAAATATTTCATGCTGTCTATGAGGTCACATTATCTCCGAACCATTCATAACTATCACAGCCAGGGCGTCCAGATAATTTACCTTGATGAATCATTCCACCGACTACATGTGGCTATCGGCACACATATAGACCATCAGGTAAAGGTAATCGTGTCATTGTTTTGCACGCTACAACCCATGACATGGGGCTTATTGATGGGTATGTGCTAGTTTTCGAGACAAAAAAGAAAACTGGTGATTTTCATAAGGAAATTATAGGAGGTGATGTGTTCATAGACTGGTTGGAACTTCAGCTATTGACCATTTTAAATAACGCCGGTGTCATCGTCATAGATAACGCCAGTTAGTTTAACGTCCGGGAATCAGATACTGTCGCCCAAACCATGAGTAGTCTGAAGGCGACCACACAGGAATATATGACATTGTCGACTTCGGACCATATGAGACGAAAGTTCAACTCATGGAGAAAATTCGGCTGAATAAGAACCCTGTATAGTACAGGACATATATGCTGGTGGCACAACACGGTCACGTTGTCTTTCGTACGCCAGTCAGACATTGTGAGCTCAACCCTGTTGTGCCCATCTTGGCTAAGTGTAAAGGGTTCGTGGCAAGACATAACACAGCATTCAAAAGTACAGATTCATATACATGTACGTCATTAGCGGAGATAAATGCTACCTCAAGAAGTCATCTGTAGAACAACAAATTCTTCTGGATTCCATAGATATACAGTACATATCCTAAATTGCTGCTACATCAACGCACATGTCAATTAAGTACAATAACAGCAATAATTTGAGACCGCCCCCAAATCGGTGACATTTGAACCTGTGACCAATGGTGAAAATGCACGGGACGGTGTGAGGTCATCACCTCGGGACAGGTGTTAGGTAATTACCTCAGGTGAAAGGCTTCTTCATACATGCATGGCAACACACGAATATTTTCTAAGTTGATCAACATTTTACCTGTAAAAGTACATTTTAAGGGTAATCACAGTGTGAGTTACGAAAATATATTAGGGCAATTTGCGTTATTTTGATATATGCTCTTTTTATAGTCCTATGATTCGTATTTATGAAATGAAGCCAGAAAAGCAGTTTTCTAGCATTTCCGACAGTACTTTAAGACATTACTTTAGGAGGTATTTATGCTGACACAGCATTGAATTTCACGACCGCCTATTAACAAGTTACAAAACCCATATCTCTACATTGAAAACTTGGTTAAACAATAATATAATAATTACGCATTTCTCATCCTGTCGTACTAGCTGTATTCGTATTTTGATCTTAGTTTCAGTCTCATATGATGTTTTAATTCAATGCAATGTACATTGCTAACATTGTATGTAAAGTCTTGCTTAAGGAACCATTTGATTGTATGAGCGTTCCAGAAAATACAGGGGAAAAATGTTTTGCCTCATGTTTTACCCCCAAATAAATAGTAATAGTTCATTAGACACGCTGGGTATCTTGCAAAGAATGTGATGTGAAAAAAACAAAAACATGTTCGGTTCCCTCGTATTGAGAATATGAACGGTCCCTAAGGCTGTTTTTTTCACAAACTAAGAATCTAACATTTCACTATCAAGGCAGTCTAGACGTTGCCTCGTTTACTGCGGAACAGACCTCTTCGGCGACTTTACTTGACATCAGTAAAACCACAAATCTCTCACTGTCGAGCACCTCAACATTTGATGCCGCTAACGCCGTGGACCCAACAAAACTGAGTGTGAGTCTTCTCACCGGTGGTTGTAGCAGCACGAAGCTTGAGCAACGTCCTCACATGAGCATCAATCTTGGTGGCTACTACTCAATCTATCAAATAGCTGTGACACTACCGGATGATGACTTTGGTGAGGCATTTGTCAAGTACATTGTATAAATTAGACACATGTTTACTTATTACAATGCAAAATGGGAAGAATTGTGTAATGATACATTTTGGTGAGCATATGAACTCGAATATTCCCGTTCTGTGTAAAATGCTTGACACCTCTTAGATAACATCTATGTGAAATCTGTGATATCATGTAGGCATCCCTTTTCCAAGTAGAAGAAGGGGGCACAAATTGTGCTGTCCTCTTGCGGAACTGTTTCGTTATGCATACGAGCCAGAATATCTGCACGGATTGCTAAATCGCCCAGGAGAGTCACTGGACTGTCTGATTCAGACACGATGGTATCAAGACTTCCATTAAATAGCCAAGTGTGGCATTAAGCCCAAAGTTACACAATACACATACAGATCAAAAATAATGTATATGTTATCAAATTTAGTTTGCAGTTCAGCAAAAGGTCATTTTCAGAACCAAACCACAAAACATGACTTCATCACTTCGCGTGTGGTACGTTGTATAATCGCCTGCTATGTCCATTATGTTTTCCGACCCGTGAAGGTCGGGGGTAGAATAGGTCTTCAGCAACCCATGCTTGCCGTAAAAGGCGACTAGCAGGATCGGGTGGTCAGGCTCACTGATTTGGTTGATGCATGTCATCGTATATCAAATTGCGCGGATCGATGCTCAAGATGTCAATTACTGGCTTGTCTGGTCCAGACTCAATTATTAACAGACCGCCGTCATATAGCTGGAATATTGCTGAGTGCGGCGTTAAACAACAAACAAAACATGTTGTGTTTTTCATACACGTGTGCAGTGAAACCTTATACCACAAACAAATATAGCATAAAATAACGTACATACTGACTCTATTAAAGCTTGTTTTTGAAAGCATCAACGTTGACGCTATATATTTCAGACATCCAGACGTGCAAAGTCTGTATCTCTTTACCCAAAGTGTATCATAAACATAAATGTTGGGTTTTCAGCCTTCTCCATACCAAACCTGAAAGTGATGTATACCGACACATCCTCCTTTGTTAAGTTCAGTCCCAGCTGTCTGAGAGGCGAGGCCGTTCCCGCGGGATCCAGGGTCATGGCAAATTGTTCAGTAACACGGTACCCACGTTCTGGGAAGTACATTCATCTTGAAGCAGACTTTGGAGACAAGACTGGCATGCTACAGATATGTCGGATCGAGGTGTATGCTCGCCCTGTTACATCAGGTATGCTGTTTCATTACTGCAGTGGAAATAAAATTGGCACGAGAAGAATTGGTTTGATACTAGAGAAGCTATGTCTCGTAAACAAGGTAGGACCTGAAGACCTTGGGTTCGCGTAATGGATTCTAACGGAACATGATGATTGGTTAGTCAGGACTATACCTGTGATCGCAAGTTTTGCTAAAGGCATTTAGTTTCGTGTATGTTCCTATCTTTCATTTTATCTTTATTTCATTGACTTTATCTGCATGATCTTATAATATATCATACCTTCTCCTTACAGGCAGATGCGATGGGGCATTAAACATATATTTCAGTATGCTATAACTTCCTTGCTTCATGTCATATTCCAGTTGATTGAAGGCAGATGTAATGGTTACAACCAATCCCCTCAGTAAACAGTATCTTCTCTGCTTTATTTAATTTTTCAGTTGTGTCAGTTGTTATTGCCCTGTGGGGACCCGGGGTAGAATGTGTCCCAGCACCCCATTACTGGTCGCAAGAGGCGTGGGTTGCAATTGCCGTGGGTTGCGCCCCTGTGGCGGTGGAGGATGGGAGTCTGGTGGTTGAGGGCATAGGTTTCAGGAATAGTGTTCCTTTGCCCAAAACACCACTTTGATCCTTACTTCGCCTAGACTGGTGGTAGGATGGACCCTGTGCATTCATGTTTTAAAGCACAGATTTGACCCTATTTCGTTTTCCTTATTAAATTGTTTTCAAACCAAATATGTATGTTTACTTGTTGAAATATTTGTAATATTTGCCTAGAGTCTTAAAGCCCAGAAGCCATTGGCTCAGGGGCCAATCTGGTGGTACGTTATTTATAATGTTTCTGCTTCAGTATATCCTTTTGGTATCATTTGGCGTTTGGCATTTGGCACACCATGGATGTGGGGAAACACACACTCAAATACCATGCTTCTCAAAATCCAAAAACACACAAAAACGTTATCATACAGATGACCCCATGGGGACTCGGGGTTGAATGTGTCCCCAGCACCCCATTGCTGGTCGTAAGACGCGACTGAATTGGGCAATTCGTTTGCCTTGGGTTGTGCCCCTGTGTCGGTGGAGGTGGGGAGTCTGCTAGTTTAGGGGACTGGTTCCTGGAACTGTTCCTTTGCCCAACACACTACTTTGACCCAAACTTCACCTAGACAGGTTGTACAATGGGCCAGTTTCTATCAATCGGCTGGTCACGCCAAACCCTGTGGGTAACATTTCTCATTCTTCCTTTTGCACGTACATGTATTATACTTTTCACAAATGTATTGCTTGGTATGTATGACACAATTTTTGAAATAACATATTGCCTAGAGTCCTATGCAAGAAGGCGTTGGCTCATGGGCCAATCTGGAAATGTTGACCGCTGAATTCACGAAATTATTTTTATTGGTAGAACCAGCTTGGCAGTAAATTTAGTAGACGAATAAAGCTATTCATGTCAAATTTGCTGGAGTATGACACGCTTGTAGCCCTGGTGTTTTGCATTTTGGAAATCAAGTGCAATAAGACACCGTCCTTGATGACACTCGATGGTTGGTTCGGAGCAGGGATGTTGAACTACTTTCTCTCATTATGTCTGTAAAACAGTCTGGTTAAAACAGAAAACACTTAAATGCTAGCTCATCTAATGACAAAACTGAACCACAATTGGATTCCTGGGCTAGATTCATTGCAATCGAAGCATCAGATCATCAACTCATGAAATTAAACCCGTTTTGCATTTCTAAGCCATCAGTGGCTGCTGTGGTGAAGTAAGTAATGTCACCCGCCTCCGCAATGATTCACTACGTATGGAGTGTGTACGGAGACAGCAAACTCTAAACTTGGTATCACTCAGCAAGTTTGCAAATGTGGAGGTATCTGTCTCACCACACAGAATGCTGAACTCATGTCGTGGCATCGCAAGAGACAGAGCCCGATGTCTGTCAGACATGAGTGACAATATGACAATATTATCAAAACAAACACCTATCTCTTTACTTTGTGACTTGCCAACATTCCTTAATCTATCAAAGCGGGGTATTTAAATATCGGAGCGAAGGTTTATCCACCAAACCCATTCTGATCTTACAAATGTCAAAATTTTGGACACGGTGCCAAAGCCTGCCACAAATGGCGGCATTAAAGGGCTAAAAATAGAACACACTAACAATATATCTTTCTATGATGCTAAAAAATAGTTCAAGCTCAATCTCCAAATATACTGAACCAAATTAGAAACTTCACAATCCTAAAATTTTAACATTTTGACCAGTTATCAATGTGGGCCCTTAATGTGTATTTAAACAGTAATGGCCACGTATTGTCTTCAGATAACACCCGTTTTTGTGCAGGTGAATCGATCAAAATCATGTGCACAGCACTATAGTGGCAAAAGTGGTTTTTCACGAGCAACTGGTCGCGTGGCCATAATACCGCACGTGTTTTTAGCCATACTTGTTAGCAGTCATTAACAAAAAAAGAAAAACACAAGAAAACAAAAGTCTTTCCGGCCATTTGTCATGCCACGCCTTTCAAATGTGCAACGTGAACGTGCCATCGGCATGTCTGGAATAATCAACATTTCAAGATTTCTATTTAACGAAAAAAGAGAAAAAGGAAATGAAATAAATAGCCAGGGCCCTCAAACACTGGGAAGCTGGTAAGGCAAGGAAAAAGGCAGAGCGTTTTTTCCGTCGCTATCCTATATTGCATAATTTGAATAAAGCAAGGCGTACATTTAAACAAATTAAATGCCAATCTTTGCGAAATTATGTTTCAAAAATAATTGTTGCCTAGTCGCCTTTTACGACAATCTTTGGTTGCTGAATCTTAACCCGTATCGCCAAGGGTCCACTCACTCAGATGTTCTTGGGAACGCACATTTCACTTTAAGATACTCCCTTAATTTTTGTAATATTTTACATTTATCACGTCTCGCATTTCAGTTGATTGTGGTCAGCCACCTGAACGTTCATTCGCAGTGATGTCCAGTACACCGTCAAACACCCATTACCAAAATAACAAATATCAGGTGACATACGAATGCATAGATGGTTACACAGTCAAGAGTGGTCGGGTGAAAGGCTACTGCTCTACATATGGCACCTGGACAGCGTCATTTGTCTGCACAGGTACTTGAAAGTCAACGTCTTACGTCATTTACGTATAACATTTTATGCCGACACGTCCTTGTTTTCGTTTTCACTTTATTCGTTCCGTAAAGGATAGTTCCCGTTCAGTTCAAGTTACCGTTCCAGTGTTGGTGGTTTCTTTCTTCTCCAAACGGCCCTTTTCAGGGCCACCCAACTCTGCCGAACACTTTCATCATTGCTTTGCCAACACACACACACACACACACACACACACACACACACACACACACACACACAAAGAACCCTCCTCCTCCTCCGGGGCGGTCGGGTAGCCTAGTGGTTACAGCGTTCGCTCGTCACGCCGAAGACCCGGGTTCGATTCCCGACATGGGTACAATGCGTGAAGCCCATTTCTGGTGTCCCCCGCCGTGATATTGCTGGAATATTGATAAAAGCGGCGTAAAACCATACACCCTCAACCACTCCTTCTCCTCCCTCTTGCCGTTGCGTCCCCTGGACACGCCAGAAACCTATGATTGTGGGTTCGAATCCCGGTTCGCCCCGATTATGCTTCTAGGTTTGTCAGCACCATACCCGTGCTCGTGGGTTTCACCGAAGTGGTAAACGTCTAAGACCTGCATCACTTCGGGCTTTCCTCCCACATTAAGCTGACACGCCGTGATATAACTGGAATAATGTTAAAAGCGGCGTTAAACCAAACTCACTCACTCACTCTCCTCCCTCTTGCCAACCCTTAGCCCACGATAGCCTTACGTGCTTCAGTGGGGGAGTTTACGCGCGCTTCTTTTATTGAAGTGGAGGATTTTACGTCATCTTGGATGCGCACGCATTACCCAGCATGCCCCCTCTTCGCGCATCCAAGCTGGCGGCACTTCCGGTATTTGAGATAACTCCCGGTGGCTTGGCTACCAGGGTGCTGTCCTTAACTACTAATGGGGTATTCATGTTAGAAATGTATATACATAAGAGTTTTACAGATGGAATTGGAAACTTTATTATCACTGACATCACGTTGGTTGGAATAGGACTTACCCTTATTATTTTCCATGGTCCAAATATGGATAAATAATTGATAAGCTTGAAAGTGAGTCCCTGATTACATGTGGTTTTAATCTTGTTCTTAACCCTTCAGTAGATTTAGAGAATTATACAAATATAAATAACCCTAAGGCAAGAAGAGTAATTTTAGATCAATTAGAAACTTTGGACCTAATAGATTTGGACCCTGATCTAAAAGATTCTCTGGAGAAAAACGCCACACAAGACTGGATTTTTCTTCACATCACAAGACATATTTGACCTAACACTTGATACTGCTAGTGTGCCTGGTTACACATGAGACCACTCGCCAATTTTATTGACATTTTCAAATTCCATAAGTAAGAAAAGGGGAAGAGGCAACTCGAAGTTTATTACTTCAATTTTAAGAAACAAAGAATATATTAAAATTTTGACAAAAATATCTTGTTTGTTTCTTTGTTGTTTAACGCCGCACTCAGCAATAGTCCAGCTTTATGACGGCGGTCTGTAAATAATCGAGTCTGGACCAGACAATCCAGTGATTGACACCATGAGCATCGATCCACGCTATTGGGATCGATGACATGCATCAAGCAGGGCAGCGAGCCTGACCACCTGATAGTCGCCTTTTACGGCAAGCATGGTTTGCTGAAGACCTATTCTACCCCGGATCTTCACGGGAAAAATAAATAAGGAAGCCAAACACTTGGGAATGCTGTATGCGTCAGCATCTTAATTTCGTACCACTAATTAAATCTAAATATATTAAATATAAATGGCTGAAGACATTGGATTTATTAAAATTAGTTTCTCATTCCAAGGCCGCATCTTTACAATACATATTCTAATGAGTCGAAGCCTGTACTCTCAACTATCCCACATATTTTACAATACGCAGTCATTTTGAACCTTTGGAATACACCGCTGGGAATATTGAACTTGATAACACATCTCCTTTCCAACTGCTGTCTAAAGCCATAGGTAGACCTGCCATTGACTAAACGAAAAAGTCATTGGCAGCTCAACAGAAATATAATCAGTATGGTTATTAGAGAGTTTGTTAGTTGCTCTGTAGCCTTTTTTAATACTGTATTGTTATGTGTAGTATCATCTTGATATTGTAACATGCACGTTTTAGAAATAAGTCGGTGATAGTCTGGTTGTTTAGTTGTCTTTTGCGACTGGTTTATATACCGTCGAAATGCATTTATTAATGTATAACTTTTCATAGTCACGATATGGCTGAAATACTGCCGATGTGACTTTTAAATCACAAATTTCCTGAACTCCGCGAATTGCGGCCAAACTATATGAAATAAACTAACTGAAGGACGGAATATTGCAAAGTGTCACAAATGAGAGCTTGTGGTATCATGCATTATACTTCTGAAGTTTGTGTCAACCAGTGTAATTCGATATTTGTACTTGTACCTTACTTTGTAGACTTGTTCACCCCTCTCTGATGCAAGACGCATTTAATTTGGACTAAATCATAAGTATAATACAAGTAAACTGTCTCCCTTTTACTGATCACCGTCTATCACGCACACACGCACGCACGCACACACACACACACACACACACACACACACACACACACACACACACACACACACACACTTGGCGTATTCACTACAGCATCATGCGTTATAGTTCCGAATTCTATATCCGAACACCTGCCACATTAATCTGACACGCCGCGATATAACTGGAATAGTGTTAAAAGCGGCGTTAAACCCAACTCACTCACTCACTCATGGATAATCGAGACTGGCGTTGATGTTTTATGTTCCCTTCACAGCCGATGACAACCTCTCCCACAACAAACCTGTTTCTCTGGCTGGCAGCGACGCCACGGACGTCTCCCCACTGACGGACGGAAACATGGCTTCGTGTTCCATCATACCGGGTGTTACCGAAGCAACTTTCGTCATTGATCTCGGCAAAGATACGGAAGTGAGCGATGTCTCCATCACACTTAACGGTGAGCAGAGATATTGTCGTGGCACAGAAGACCAACAGGTGATGGTTTAAACTTCTCTTGAAAATTGTAGACGGGAATACGAGGGGAATTAGGTTTGATGTACACTGCCACGAAGAGTTATAAAACCGTATTTCCCCTATCGGGGTGAACAGTGGCCTGCATATGCATGTGTTTATGACGAGTGCCACCGATGGGGCAGGATACGCTCACCTTTTCGCGATATTTGATATTGATTCATACATATGCTTATGATTTCGTCTGAATCGTGTAATAGACTAGATTTCTTATGACTAAGAAAACGTTAACATTTTCAAGAATACTTGATATAGTAATGCTATAATTTGTATGCATATACACATCTGTTATTCTCCAGACGTGGTGGCACTGAAGACACCCTATATGAACGTGACCGTGTGGCGTGATGGTTACCCTGCTTCGTCCTGTTACGCAGGCAGATGGTATCTCTACAGTTGGTACACGATCAATATAGCCTGTTCCTACTTCCCTGTGGGCAGATACGTCAGCGTGCACATCTACTACAGCAACGTCGCCTCGCTAGAAATTTGTGAGATTATGGTTCATGGGAGGCCGTACACCGAGGGTATATATATATATATAATATATTATGAATTCATACGATTTAATTAGAGACCCGCGAAGATCCGTGTAAGAATAGGTCTTCAGCAACCCATGGCGACTATGCTTGACGTAAGATGCGACCACGGGGATCGATTCTCATTATGTTAATCGATGCTCATTATGTTAATCACTGGATTGTTTGGTCATCATTTACACACCGATGGGACATAAATACGAACAAAATGCTGAAGATACAGAAATATTTCTGGATGGGACTGATGAAAGTTTAAGTACGGCTTTTGACACTCTAAATGATTTTCATAAAATGTCTGAATACAAAATTTACACATGAATAAAACAAAAGCAATATGGATAGGCTCAATGGTAGGCTGTGACATCAAATTATGTAAGGATCTGAAACTAGGCTGGCACAGTGGGGATTTTGAATTATTGGGAATAAAATGAACAACATTAATTAAAAAAAATAGTTTTGTTTGTTTGTTGTTTAACGCCGCACTCAGCAATATTCCAGCTATATGACGGCTGTCTGTAAATGATCGCGTCTGGACCAGACTATCCAGTGATTGACATCATGAGCATCGTTCCACGCAATTGGGTTTAATGACATGCTTCAACCAATCCCGTAAGTCGCCTTCTACAGCAAGCGTGGGTTGATGAAGACCTATTCTACCCCGGATCTTCATGACGAAGGAGGAATGAGAAAGGTAAGGTTTTTTTTATTATTTCTCTAAAACTGTCAGTTCTAAATCAACATCTTCAAAACATGAACTGTGATAACCCTAGCATCTTTCCACTAAAAACATATTCCTACTTGGGGCCAATATTTAGAACTGCATACACGCCACTAAACCTTACTGAAGAGATGTTTTGGCTGCTTGGGGAACATTGTATAGAAGACACGAAATTAACTCCACAGGCATTGGAGAAGTGCAATCAGAACCTTTTTGGTGTAGCCATCAGTTTAAAAAACCCTGATGATGAAGCAAGGGTTGCTGAAGACCTAGTCTACCCCGGATTTTCACGGATCCACAATTATTGAGTAATACCAGGTTCTATCAAACATACCAAAATCCTGGAAAGGTGCTATTAGAAATAAATAATCACATGATCTTATATAATCAGCATTTAAATGCCACTTTGAGGCTCCAGCTATTTTAGGATAAGACTATAACTACAGCAAATCTCCCAACAGTATGTGAAAAATGTGATACCATTCTTGACTCCGATATATCATGGAAGGATGTTTGTATTAGATACAGAAAATGTACAAACGATGTAAAATTACTTGATTTTCAATATAACTTTATTCATCGCATCATCTATAATACAAAGAAGGAATTGTTAAATATGAAAATTCTCGATGATGATCTTTGCTCATTCTGCGAAACTGATACTGAATCATTACTTCTTGTGTATTGGGATTGCAAAGATGTCAGAGAGTTTGGGGCCAAAGTGGAATGTTTTCTGAATGCAAAATATACAAAAAAATACATTTACAAAATGCTCTGTTTACTTGGGTACAACTCTAACATTCTGCTTAATCACATCATACTGGCATGCCAAAAACATATACATGTATCAAGTACTAAGAAAAACAAATTATCACTTGAAAACTTTCTGAAGACTTCAATCGATATATTTAGGATAGAGAAATCCATTGCACACAAAAACAATACAAAAAGACAGTTTGACAGAAAATGGCAAATGAATTGTCTAGTTAATATGTCTCTATTTTGAACAAAACAATTTCCACTAATCTGCTGTAAGGATTTAGCTTGACACCCAGTTAATGATGACCTGCTAGCCTGCTAGGTTCACAATTTGTTAACATTGTTGTACACCTGAAGATAAATAAAATTTGCTGTCTGCTGTATAGGTATGAAACCTACACCTAATGAACACATTACATGTCATGTTACTCTATGTAAAACTATGTAAAATAATACTGATTGAAATAAAAAAAGAAAGAATATTGCTGCGGGCGGCGTTGTATAACAAATAAACATACAAATATGTAATTAGAGGGCATAAGTGGCACAGTTCTAAGGCGCCGCAAAATGGAGCTTCTGGACTACCTCCCTTTGCCTGATGTCCTCCCGAATGTAGACAGAAACGGTCGTTACGTCACCGGAAGATGGGTCAGTTATTACGGTTCGTCAGTGTGAAAATCCCGGTCTTGCACTGTTGCGTACGGAGTTGTTCCGTGCATACGCGAGAAACATATCCGATGAAGTGTACCATTTTGTGGTTCATGATAAGTTTCATTTCCGTCCGAGCAGGAAATCTAAACAAGTATTTGCAACAATGTTACAATGTCCCCCGCCGCTACTATCATATTCCCTATTCATTAACATGGTCTGAGTGAAATATACCCCCAGTACTTGAGATATCGCCCAAAAAGGATCGCAAAGACCAAATCTTGTATTTTTTCGTAACGACCTTGAAAATGGCAAGGTCACCAAAATTGAGTCGTCTGAACATCCTACATAAACAGGTGCCATATATGAAAGAAATGTACTGACTAGTTCTTGAGATATCTTTCGGACGTGAATAATATGTCCACCGCTTCGCGCTTTCGCACGGCGGAAGACAATTATATCGAAGACGAGAATGGATGCGTATGGTAAAACGTGATACCCACAATGAAGCCGAAAATTTTTCGCGTTTCTGTTTACTTCACTTCCTGCAGTCCTGCGTTGTTTCCACCAAACGTAGAAAAAAGGAGACTGGTGAGACCATCTCGTCTGTCCTATATTTAGCTCTGTGCACAAGGATTGAGAATGAGAAAAAAAATAACCTCAAGACTGTATGTCAAAAGGGATGAATTCGGCGTTCTATAATCGTCAACTTTCCTGCTATGTCGAGATTATTCCAGCCTTTGTACATTTCACAAATTCTGAGGTACATCCGAGCATGCTCTTTCTAAGAAGTATTCAAAGAGCGTCATACGGCCTTTGCTCTAAAATTGTTTGATCAAGGTTAAAAAGTCATGGCTTCAAAAGGGAAAACATGTTTTTTTTCAGGTAAAACATTGACTTGCCTCTGTATGTGTTTGTGGGCTGAAATACGCTCACCTTTTCGCGAACTCCTGGAATCACCTAGATTTAAGCATATATCTGTTATGACTAATGAACGGGTTTTGAAGCCTCTATTCCAACAACTTCAAGAAACTTTGAGTTGAAAGGTATGTATTCTACGTGTTTGATATAATTATATTCATTATAATTATTTTCAAGCAGTTGCAAATTGTAAACCCTTTGAAGTATCATAAAATACCCAAGATGGGCCTGATTACTGTTACATTGGATACTTCAAAGTTGGTGGACAAGGCCAAGGGATATTTCAACAATAAGAATCTACAAATCTGCATATTAAGAGACCCGTGAAGATTCGTGGTAGAATAGGTCTTCAGCAACCCATGCTTGCCGTACAAGGCGACCATGCTTGTCGTAAGAGGTGACTAATGGGATCGGATGGTCAGGCTCGCTGCCTTGGTTGATGCATGTTACCGTATCCCAATTGCGTGGGTCAATGCTCATGATGTCAATCACTTGATTGTTTGGTTTAGACTCGATTATTTAGAGACCGCCGTCATATAGCTGCAATATTGCTGAGTGGGGCGTTAAACAACAAACAAACAAACAAAACGCATATTAAGAAATAAAATACTTTAACAGCCAGAAACCTTAAAGAAATCCATCTAGCCTCTTACAGTACTGTATGTAAGATAGATTTTAACAAAAAATTTTTTATCTATTCCAGACCAGTAAGGAAGCCATCACTTCAGCCTGGCTACTGGGGCGACATAGAAGTTCACACACGCCTTTCTTCAACTGATTGGCTTGTCTGGTCTTGACTCGATTATGTACAGCTGCCGTTATATAACTGGAGTATTGCTAAATGCGGCGTTAAACAACAAACGGACTTCAGATGAAGTTGCAGTTTCAAATCCTGAACCCAGTAACGACAATCGCTATTGAGGACCAGATGGCATTATATTAACATTTTCATATAGCGAACTTAACCACATATCTCAACTACCTGGGGAGTATACAACTCATGCTTCCTATATAGTCCAGTTAATATGTGCCTGAAAATATGCTAACCTCAAACGAATTGCAAAAAAAATGTATTTAAGTTCTTTAAACAACAAACAAAAAACATTTCTCGCAGCCACTTTCTGTATTGTCTTTCTTGAAAATGTTTCAGCTCGGTGATTGAAATGAGGGTCACTTTTACGTTTTCTCAAAGCAGCTCCTTTCAAATTCAATTTGAACGAAATATTTTATCACATAATGTAATGCCATGAACAAATGTGAGCAAACAACGTATTATACAGGGGCAAGTCTTTGTTTGATGCATTTGATGTTCCACGTGCGCTTTTTCTAAACCATTGTTTGGCCTCTGACTTAAAGTAGATATATCTTCAGAACATGTCTTCGTGGGAGCACAAAAGCACACGAAGTCACATTTGTAGACACTGTTGTCAGGACATTCAGCAGGTCAGCATCCCCAGTAGCATGTAACGTCGTGATTCCATTTTCTTCCATCTTCTTTCTGAGAAGTTTGATGAGACGTTTGTTTGTTTTGTGGATCAAAGAGTGCTGCTTCTTGGATTTGAGGTGCATATCCTCTATGAATCTGACTTCAGGTAATCAGGTTCAACCAGTGCTTCCAGTGTGAGCGTCCTCTTTTATTGCAATAACCATCGAAAACAAATACGGGTTTTGAGTACGTCAAGACATACTCTACATGTATTTTACAGAGGAAAGTAAAACTAGAATCCTGGGATCATGGTATGTATTGCAGCAGAGAACCACCGTCAGAATATTCTACGTTTGGTGCTGGCATGTCATATCCTGCTAAAGTCTTGCATCTGCAAGTGCTGGCTTTTGTGCCTCTCTGAGGAGACCAGATGAGTCAAACACAATGAAAGTAACATCAGAAACATCGTGTTCATTTGAATCTCTGTTCTCATCGACAATATGAAGATTCTGGACTAAACATGGCCTCGAACTTTCTTCCCCCTGTCATCAGCACGCTGTTAGCAAACAGCCTGAATGGTTTCTTGAAAGTCCTTGGTGCATTCTTGATAAACATCACGTCCCCTTTTCTTTATGGAAAGTGTTGCATATTTTCCACAAAATAAACAGTTTTCATAGAAAAGAAAGTGTGTTTCAGCGCATTGTTTTGAGTGTTCTTGAGTCAGTAGTTTTTGTACCGATCTTAGCAATGTCACATTTAACAACGTTTGAATAATAATATTTGCGACATTATAAGTGCACCAGTGAGTGAGTGAGTTATCAAATTTAACGTCATATCGGCAGTTTTTCAGCCATATCGTGACGAGAAGTTATACATTTACAATACTAAATATAAAGCTGTCAACGATGGACAGTACAATAACTAAAATATCACAGATTTGAATTAAAACTAGTTGAGAATTTTAAGAGGTAGTAAGTATTAGAGAACAACACAATATACAAATGGGCTAGAGAACGTCAGGCACTGAAGCGTGATCACCATACTAGGGCCCATGGGGACTTAAAGTACCTTTGCTTCCTGCATGGAGCCCGGTAGGATTTATATAACCCTACAGTCACTGGCGATAATTGACCAGTTAAGCCTAAGATTAAAATTACGGAAATACTGCGTTTAAAAGTCTGGCATGCATAGAAAATACTTCGAATGACGTGGAACTTACATACCCTCTTAGGGGGACAAAATTTTTACGATACTTCAACCCCCTCGAGGGTACAACCACTAACAATCTGAGGTAGTAATTAGCACTACCAATATATAAGAAAACATTATGTACATCAAAATTTATGAATAAATTCATTTCAATTTAATAAGCTCAATATTAAATGAGAATTGACATGACTAAAAAGGTCCTTTACTGTTTTTACACTAAAATATTTATCCCTTGTTATGGAAAAATCAATACATGCTAAAAAGGTAATAATTTTATATGGATGTCGGCAATATTGTAAGATATTTATGATTTTACTACTTTTGCGTTCGTGTTTTTGCAGAGTATACTAACAGGGTGCATGCACTGTGCACTAAGGGAAGTGGCAACACCGTAAGACCTGTAAACATTGCTGGTCCATTGGCTGATTAACAATCTGGTTACTAACATCTCAGCACCTGATGGTTGCTAGAACACTCCGTGCCCAGTTATTAGTGAATGTGTCACGGTTGATGCTTCTACACAAACAAATGTCTTCTATAGATCTCAGCAATAGTAACTATGAAAATGACAACATCAAATGGAAACATGACGATAATTATATAACGAGATATATGTTTTGATCAAGTAACAATAGGCGATGGACATTTTAAACTCTATAATGGTTTTCCGTCATGTGCTATGTTATCAGGAATTTTTAGAAACTTGTTTCAGATTGCTCAGTTCTTAATTATTTGAGTTTCACAAGACGCAGTAAAACTCTCTTAAAAGAAAAGAAGTAAAGCCAATACCCCGAAGTAAGCTATAATTGTATCAGATAATTATTCTGACTTGTTCGATTCAGGCTTACACTTTAGCAGTTTTGATCAGCTGATATTTGTTGTCTCCCAGTTGGGTGTGTCACAAATCTTTACCAGTTCGTTTTTTCAAAACCTGGATCACAATCAGCACAGTAACTTCAGATAAATCCATGACTTTAACACCAGGGAATATTTATGTAATTAATGATGTGATAAACAATGGTTAAACCAATGGTATGAACCAGCCTGGTACTGAGAAGATATAATTCAGTTTTACATGACCTTATCTTATGTACCAATCAACATCACTTTCATTTTGATCTCATATGTACAAACTATGTGATAAATAGATATAGTTCATGTTGACAGTTGTCATATCTTGTTAGATCTATTTACTACTCAAGTTGAACATTGCACCAACTGATGACACCTAGACAGTGTCATAGTGTGACATATTTGGGTCATAACATACAGAAATGGCACAATATGCTATTCTGAAACAAATAGATCAGCTGATTGTGTTTCCCATGACGCCTATCCCGAAAGCTTGACCACGGTCCCTGCTGGGTAAATATATTATTACTATCACTGACTTTTGCCATTACATATTGTACTACCATTGTATTGCAAAGTACCATTGTAATTGTTGTACAGTAATTTGTATTGATTTGTAAACCCAGTTGATTGTACAATACAATTATTGATTGTGTATCTTATGTTGGTTGTTTGTTGGTTTCACACTAAATTCTTTTACATACAGATTTCTGGGTTAACTAATTGTTTCGATTTGGGAGTCGACGCGCAACACATTATATACTCCTACACTGCATTTAAGTCGACAGGACCCGTGAAGATTCCGGGGTAGAATAGGTCTTTAGCAACCCATGCTTGCCGTAAAAGGCGACTATGCTTGTCGTAAAAGGCGACTAACGGGATCGGGTGGTCAGGCTCGCTGACTTGGTTGATGCATGTCATTGATCCCAATTGCGTGGATCGATGCTCATGATATCAATCACTGGATTGTCTGGTCCAGACTCGATTATTTACAGACCGCCGTCATATAGCTGGAATATTTCTGAGTGCGGCGTTAAACAACAAACCAACCAACCAACCAATTAAGTCGACAGTTGGCTCAAGTTAAAAAAATACACAAGTATATCAGCATGATTAGCAATGGACAGTGACATCAAGTTATCAATCCAGGGAGAGAGCTTGACATAAACCACTAAAGTTAAAGTTACACTTTCACCATCGGTGACGAGGCTGTATCTCAATAGCCTTGACATCTGTTTAAATCACTGGTAAATTCAGCTCCACAACCTTCTCAGCAAGTCGCTTCAGCTGCATGAGGTTATAATCAAGCTCACTGCAATTGACGTAACAATGAACAAAGTTCAGTGTCCTTCCTTGCGGTTCTTTGCGTACACCGCTTGCGCCCCCAACGCTGGAAGGTTACAATCCCAGAAGCTGTATTCGCTGTGCTGTAAGTTACTCTCCTTTAGCTTGGTTGGTTGGTTTGTTGTTTTACGCCGCACTCAGCAATATTCCAGCTATATGACGGCGGTCTGTAAGTAATCGAGTCTGGACCAGACAATCCAGTGATTAATAGTATGAGCATCGATCCTCGCAATTGGGATCAATGACATGCATCAACCAAGTCAGCGAGCCTGGCCACCCGAAGCCTACAATCGTGGATTCGAATGCCAGATCATATCTAGTTTTTACATCCTAGGGGGCCCGGAGTAGTATGTGACGTGACGATCGGGTCACCCATAACTCTTCTCGAAACGATGATAACTTTTCGAGAAAAGTTTCTAACGCCACTTCCATCGTTCGAACTTAGCACCATAAACATCCAGTAGCACGTACAGTGTCAGAAATCATATGACTATAAACTGAATAGGGTAATTGAAAGTCATTAAACGAAATAAAGTGACCACAAGACATTTAGTGGTGTCACCGCTAAGAGATATGTGTGAAACATGGCCTTGTTCTATAACGAGATACAAAACTGGTGTTTTTATTGTTGCTGGAAATAAGATGTGTTTGTCTGTTAGTTAACGTAGCAGTCAGTCACATATAAGTTCTGGCTGTGTATGCGACTAGAATGTGATACAGCCTTCGGCCTTCTTTGGTAGCAACATACGACATTTAATATGCTATAAATGTTACAATAACCACATTGTTAAAATTGAATAGAAATTAAAATGATTCTAAAAACAATATTGTTGATTCAGTATGCCAGTGTTTAAATTCAGTTTTTTTCGGATTTCTTCAAGCTCTTGAGTGTCAACGCAGAGGGTGGAGTTCTCAAGACTATAAAGGAAACATGAACATGACAGTAGCAGGTATCCCTTGTCAAAGATGGGATTCCCAGAGCCCGCATGCGCACTCCCATACGAACATATCAAATTTCCCGGATGATAACCTTCAGGATGCTGCCAACTACTGCAGGAACCCCGACAGAAAAAGTGGGCAATGGTGCTTCACCAACGACCCGGATGTTGAGTGGCAGTATTGCCCTATCAGAGTCTGCGGTGAGTATATTATTAATTTATTTATAACAAGCATTACTTCACGCGTAATGTTTTGTTTGTTGTTTAACGCCGCACTGAGGAATATTCCAGCTATATGACGGCGGTCTGGAAATGATAGGAGTCTGGACCACACAGTCCAGTGATTGACATCATGAGCATCCATCGTTTCCAATTTTTGCAAACCCTTATTTTTCTCTTTTCTCAAAACAACTTGGTCTCGTCGCTATATGGCTGAAATAATGCCGATGCGACGTTAAATGTAACTCACTCACTCTTGTCTCAAAAGAGAGAAAATGAGCTTGTTTCGATCGGGCATGCTTGCCTTTGAAATTAGTCTTAATAAATTCAGTGTTTTGTCGATGTGTCGGTCTACTTCCAGAGGAGTCTTTGACATCTTCTTACAACCACTTTTCTCTCAGCCTTGGCCTTGAATATCCATGCTCCAGGAGAGCGAGATTTTGTCATATATGAGGGTTATTACTGCCCGCAGCACTTGAGGAATATTGGGAGTAACTCACTCTCCATGCTAAAACGTCACACTCTGCATCGTTGGTTGGTTGGTTGGTTTGGTTTGTTGTGTAACGCCGCACTCAGCAATATTCCAGCTATAAGGCGGTGGTTTGCCCTGTGTGGAATGTGTATTTCTTTCTCTGAAGCATGTATATAAAGAATTTCAAGAAGAACCTTGTTATAACTGCATAACCCTCTGCTGTCTTCTTAATAAAGAGCCGGATATAAAATCTGACAACAAATTTGTGCGGCTTCTATCTTCACCTTAAGAAATGTGTGCTTTGCAACATATCCTGTCGTTAACAAAAACAACATGAAATACCCCTCCCCCTAGAAAATTAAGTCCCTCAACAACCTTTCACGTCTTCACCTTTGACAACAAGGTTCTTGAACAATATTATTAATGGCAATGCTGTACAGGCAAGGGTAGATACACTTATGAGTTGTTAGTTGTTTTAAAATTAAAGTCAGGACACCATGGTTTTCTCTGTATATACGATTATTAATTTTAATCTATTTCAATATACAGACATTTCTGTATGTTATGTTCATATCTATATCTGGTAGTTTCATAGAAGAATTTGCCGAATACACTTCACTGGAACTCGTACTATCTGGCTTGTTATACTTTGCATGTCAAACGATTGAAAAATGAACAATATGAAATTCGATCAAGACTTACTTTTCATAATGTCATATTTGCAGATGACATGTGTTTGCTGGGTGACAAGGGTTCTACATACACAGGATCAATGCAGAAAACATCCTCTGGTGCCAGCTGTGTTACGTGGAGTGAGGCAGACACGCCCTTCAAGAAGACGAGTCATTTCAGGAGCTGGTGGCCATGGTCAAGGAAGCATTACTGTCGCAACCCAGTACATTCACAGAGTCGCCCTTGGTGCTATACCTCCACGGACGGTAGTCAGTATGGCCTTTGTGACATCCCAATAACGTGCCGTAAGTTATTAGTCTCAGTTTAATGAACTGCGCGATATAGTAATAACGGCATAAGGTTGGTTGGTTGGTTTGTTGTTTAACGCCGCACTCAGCAAAAAACAACATTCCAGCTATATGACGGCCGTCTGTTAATAATCGAGTCTGGACAAGACAATTCAGTGATTGACATCATGAACATCGATCCAGACAATTGAGATCGATGACATGCATCAACCAAATCAGCGAGCCTGACCACCCGATCCCGTTAGTCGCCTCTTACGCCCATTCATTTATAGAGATACGTTTTGTTTACATTCGGCCTGTAAATATCTTCACGGGTCTGAGAGATACGAGTGGAACCCAGGCAGGGCACAGCCAGAAATGCCTAAGTCATTTCAAAGACGGGAAACGAGAAAGTTATTGTTTATGATGTCATGGCTTTTAAGTCTTGGAGAACCAGTAAAGCTCTGTTGCCATTATCAATTTCAAATCTCATGTCGTTTATTTCCCGGAGGAGAGTTGTTTCTGTGCTATGGCATGAATGGTTATCAGCTTGAAAGGGGTCATACAGATTATGATGCTTTAGGTGTACAGACAATCCAGTGATTGACATCATGAGCATCGATCCAGGCAATTGAGATCGCATCAACCAGCGAGCCTGACCACCCGATCCCGTTAGTCGCCTCTTACGCCCATTCATTTATAGAGATACAATTTTTTATATTTGGCCTGTAAATATGATATACTGTACATATGCGCTCGTCAAATTATATAATCGAATATTTGGACATTTAAGGTGATGGCTTATTCACTGTTTGCAATGAGACAGGATCATCGAGGTGTCACTCAGAATTAAACCGCTGCTCAGTCTACATGTTTCTTCATCATCTATAATGCTTTGTACAGCATAGATGAGCCATTTACTCTTTGGATGCTTAAGAAGGAGTGAGTGAGTTTGATTTTACGCCGCTTTTAGCAATATTCCAGCAATATCACGGCGGGGGACACCAGAAATGGGCTTCACACATTGTACCCATGTCGGGAATCGAACCCGGGTCTTCGGCGTGACGAGCGAACGCTTTAACCACCAGGCTACCCGACCGCCCCTCTTAAGAAGGACATTCTGACAATATATAATAAAAAACACAACATATGTTTTCAAAAAATGAATACAAATATCAACTCAGATTAATCATAGAGAAACTGGTAAAAAATGTGTATGGAATGAACATCCACACTGAAATATGTATGAGCCAATATTCAACTAGTGATACTAACGTTATGAAAATATAACTGAAAGACATTGTCTTGAATTATTTTAAATACCAATTGAGGAACATGCTTAATCATCCACAGCTACGTCCTCCGAGGTGACGCGAGGTCGATGGGTCTTAGGTGCTGACCAGACTGTTGATGAACTCCTACCGTCCACTGAATGCCTTGTGTGGAACAACCTGTTCACATCTGACGGTGTCTTCAGTGGCAGCCCCTATTCAGTTTCTACTCCTGTATCTTTTGTGGGCAACTTCGCGGCAGAAGATGTTTGCGTTGTAGAGAAGGTGTTCAATACATCCATTCTGTGCTACAATGTCACCGAATCGGGAACAGTTTGGAAGGCTGGTGTTCTGGAGTGTGGTATGTCCAATGTTAAACAATTATAAGACAATCCTGTGAAAGGGTCACCATAGCATTGCCAGTGGGGATGACTATTGAAGTTACTTTTCTAATGCAGTAGGGTTGGTTGGTTGGTTTACGCCGCACTCAGTGAGTGAGTGAGTGAGTTGGGTTTAACGCCGCTTTTAACAGTATTCCAGTTATATCGCGGCGTGTCAGCTTAATGTGGGAGGAAAGCCCGAAGTGATGCAGGTCTCAGACGTTTACCACTTCGGTGAAACCCACGAGCACGGGTATGGTGCTGACAAACCTAGAAACATAATTGGGGCGAACCGGGATTCGAACCCACAATCATAGGTTTCTGGCGGGCCCAAGGAACGCAACTCTGCGCAGCAAATCGCGGCGCCTTAGACGACTGTGCCACCCGTGCCCCCAGGCCGCACTCAGCAATATTCCAGCTATATGACGGCGGTATGTAAATAATCGAGTCTGGACCAGACAATCCAGTGATTGATATCATGAGCATCGACCCCCGATCCCGTTAGTCGCCTTTTACGACAAGCATAGTCGCCTTTTACGGCAAGCATGGGTCGCTGAAGACCTATTCTACCCCGGATCTTCACGGGTGTAATGCAGTAGGGACGGTGGCGGTAGTCACTATTTTTAAGAACATCCACCATGTTTATTCAACGACTATGTTGTTAAGGACAAATTATTTATTTCTAACATTGTCTCAATCACCCCACCCAACTCATCTTGATTTTCAGAAGGGGTCACGGTGTTCTGGATCAAAACGAATGGAAAAGTTATTGATTAACAATATGGGTTTCTAATTATTATGTTTAGCGAGATATAGTGCAGAGCAAAATAGATAACTATTGATATTTTCACATTTTTCATAGCCGGATAACCATCGGGTAAAGTCCGATCAATCGTAACTCCCTGATTTGTCAGAATATAGGAATAGCATAAATCAAAGAGGAAGGTAGTACAAGGGTTGATCGATAAGTTCTGAGCCTCATATGGAAGGAATTGCGTAAAAGTAAAATCTCTTGTTGTGGACATTACATGTTGTCATAGAGATATATAAAAAACTTGAGTCAACTGAGCAAATTCTTTTGCTGTGAAATAAGCAGGGGTGTGTGACCTTTGAAAACTGGACAAACTTGAGGAAGATGCAAGATGTTTTTTTATGACAAATTTTAGCTTAAAGAAAACTTGTTCTATGAGAAACCCTCGAGTATCCTAATTTCTGGAGCTCATAGTGGGATAAGCATAAGCTGCTAGAGCTGAGAAAGGATGGACTGGGAAGATTTTTAAGTACATGCTCTGGGGACTACCCACGCGTGACTGGCAGAGAAATGTGCTTTACAGAGATGACGTACATATTATGATCTATAATTCCTGAACACAGCATCCATTCTCTCGGCTTTTACCTCTATGACGAGCGTCCGTTGGGCTTTCCTCCCATATTAAGCAGACTCCCTGTTATATAACAGAAATACCATTAGAAACTGCAAAAGTCCGAACTCACATGCTCTCTTGCATCCTCGAAGTAAACAACGTTGCTTATGGACGTTGCCAGACCAGTCATGTAGTACACTAGTTGGCAAATATATATTCTAACAAAATGTTATTACTCTCATTTACGTCTTTGTCCCCCACAGTGAACTGCGGATCTCCCCCAAGAGTAGATAACTCTAACGTCTCCATCTCATCTAGTCTCCTCGACGGAAATGCCACATACACATGCGTAACAGGATATAGGCACGCTTCCGGTTCAAGTGAAGTCACGTGTCTCAAATCAGGCCTTTGGGAAGTTCCTGATGTCGTTTGTAAAGGTACGTCTTGGTTTTATTTTCATAAGGGACCATAAACCTCAGTTTGATCTCAGGTGTGCACCTACAATTTACATTATTTTGTTTCGTTGTTGATATCACTTTTACTCTGGCTGTTTCACTTAGAGTTGATTGACGTCTGCATTGAATGCTGTGAGAAATCGGTGATGTTCTTCATTGGCGCAATTTTGTATCAATTTAAAACAAAATGTAAATTATTGTAACAATATTGCCAAGAAACCCTCTTTTTGGGGATGTGTCACAAATCAATTATGGTTGATGCATTTTCTTTGTCATGTGGTTAACAGCATTTCTGTTTGGAAACACGTTCTAAACGATCTCAACAAATCAATTTGTGTGATTGCATGTGGAAAGTGTAAAGGCAGGGCGAAAATGCTCCTTGTAGACACTCAGCTCAGATTCATACCCAAATTTACCTTAAAAGTTGTGATATGATGACACCAAAAGCTGAAGCTGGTCGAGTATTGCTCGGCATAAAAGGTAAGTTGACTATTGGAAAGTTGAATTCCTGACCTACAGTCTTGAGGAGAATTTGTTTTTGTGACTCTGAATCTTAATGCATATATGTAAATATCAAACAGATGAGGCGGTTTCAATGGTCTCTTTATTTCTGGTACAGGTGGGTAAATCAGTGAAAAGGAATTGGCTATTTGAAAAGTATTAAAGTTAAGTCGTCGATTTTGCCACTCCCAGGAGATTCATATTGATAACGTAACAAAACAGCTCAGCCAGGAGGGGAGCACTACTTCTTGCTTAAATGTCCTAAGTCCGAGTTTCACATAGATGGTTTCCTATATTGATTTCTCAGTAAACTTCAGATGACATTTGCTTTCACATAAAGTGGAATAGGGAATGGGTGCTGTCCGTCCATCCTTCCGTCTTTCCATCCGTCAATCACGCTCGTATCCGGAGCAGAACTAAAAAACCCAATGAGAACCAGGTAAAGTGGTGAGCTGGTGCCTTTTCAAAGTTGGGGATTTAAAAAAGTATTTCGAGTTTCCATAGCAACGACTTAGACTTCCTTTATTGTATTAAGGATTATGGTCTTTTAAACAGGGAATTGGTGGTACATTTTGGTGGATCCTGCAATTTATGTCTTTTTGGATGGATATTGCTGAATCTTTGGAATATGTACAAAAAATGGAATGGACATGGCTTCAGGTTTTAGATTCAAGCCAAAAGTTAACAGTACTGATAAGTGATTTTGGCAGATTTCTTCTTCAGTTACCATACTGACCTTATTTGTGACATTATTTGATATATCACTTATACCATGGTCTTTGATCAAATAATTAGTGGAGTGACGCTTACTGGTCATGCTCATGATATTAATCACTGGATTGTCTGGTCCAGACTCGATTAGTTACAGACCGCCGTCATATAGCTGGAATATTGCTGAGTGTGGCGTTAAACAACAAACAAACCAAGCTATTAAATGTCTTGTCAATGTGAACAATTATTTCATGTAGGGCAGCCAGACCTTGGATAATAACTGGCTGGGACAGAATGGGTGAATTCTGTTTCCTTTTTTCAGTTTGTGCATGCGAACAATGAAAACATAACGAAAACATCCTTCATGAGTTGTCATCCCAATTGCATTGGTCACTGTCTGTTCACGATATTTTGGGTAACATATGAATAACCGATGAAGGTTGTCATTGTCTGTAGTGTTAACATTGTTTCATAACTTAATTATTTATGTTGCAGTTAACTGTGGCGACCCGCCTTCAAATAATAGGACCGAGTTCTCGAGTACCAATGGGTTCGTCAACGAGACCGTTGAATACACGTGTAAGCCTGGGTATGCACACGTTTCAGGATCAACCGTCATCACCTGCCTCGATACAGGGACATGGGAGGAACCAACGATAACTTGTGAAGGTACATTTCACCTCAGAAAGTCCCTCGGACATAGATTGGATGGAGTTTCTGTGTGATTCCAATACAATTTTGTCAAAACGATATCCCTTGTCCATCAAGTATAACTGGTGTTCTCTGGTGTGGGGTACAAATTGCAGTTTTATTACCCACGTGGTGAAGATACAGGTGGTAAGATACTTATTCCGTACGTCACACGTGTGTCGTACAAGGTTGACCTTGTTTTATTCGTTTTGATTGGAGAACCGTGTCCTCTGTCACACCGGGACTACTTTTTTCATTCATAAAAAATCGCGAGACGTCATTCAATTTGCAAGTACAAGGCAGAACTGAAGCAATCTCATGAGAGCGAGATATATTTACAAACACTTTATCAAACCAAACAAGATAGTCACACGCAGCAAATTCCGTTTGCATTCTATATAAGTAATGCAGGGAGCTTCTACAGACATCATATCATATTCGAGCTATATCTATTTACAATGTACATTGTACGACTACCGATCAATAGAGCAAGGGTCCACATGAGCGTGACGCACCCGGCCACTTTCGCATCTTTCGTTCAATTTGATTTAACGTAAAAGGATTAGCGTGGTGAAATGAAGTAAGTTTAAACTATCTGGACAGATATCTAGACCTACTTGGGATGATCCGGTTGTGCCATCAGTTTCCCCTTCGAAGCGTATTTTATGGCACTGTTTCGAGAGTTGTTTGTTCACAACTGCACGATCAGATCACTCAAAGTGAACATTTCCGAAACAAATCTTTCGGAAACTCTGAAAACGTGTGTCTGACTTCTAATTATGTGGCCAAAAATATCCCAAATGTGAACAGTAACATTCCCTATCTCAAGCGTAAAACGCTGTGAGAAGATCACGGTTGTCTTTTCTTATTCCGGTGGTGACCTGGCCCTGTCACTGACATGCGAGAAGACTTGAGTTTAGTTATTTTCACTTCTTCAGTATAGGGTGGTACAGTTAATATGAATGTCTTTGGCGGACACTCTGATTCCCTCTTCAAAATGGTACGGACATGATATAAATTCAGCTGATAGAACAAGGAAACCGAACCATTTTGAATGCACAGACGCCACCCCGGCAGTGCGAGTGACCGACTGTTGGTCCGATATTCAAAGCGCGGCGCTAATGTGACTTTTAAAATTTTCTTATAGGTGTTCTGCCGACTAACATCCTGGCGCTTGAATTACCATAAGTTGAATAAGTTCTTCCAAAAGAATCTTAAGCGTCGTTGCTGTTTTGTTTGCAAACACAACTGGAGGCGCTTGTTGTAAATCCGTATGCATAGAAATGTCAACAATGCCCATATTTGGGCATACATCAATATTCATGTGCAACCAGATTTTGCAACCGGTTTCAATTTGGTCTGTCAACGAACGGAAGTTGGTATGTACTTACACTTAAATATATATTTAACGTGGGTAATAAATGAAATACCATACTCATTCTCGTTAGATAACATTTTTACGAAACTCGTGAACTTTCTATGGTATTTAACGAGAATGAGTGTAGTATTTTCTGTATATCCTGTCATAAATATTATATTCTTTAGATGTATCGTAACCGCGTAAATGTGTTGACAAAGTGATGGGTAGGCGAGTGTCATAGAGCATATTTGGTGTTATGTTTCATAACTAAAGGTTTTTATTCTTGAACTGGTTTTTCTCCAATGTTCCAATCAGTCGACTGTGGAGATCCCTCGCCAGTAGACCACGCAGACATCTACGTCAACTCAACATGGCTGGGTCAGACCGTCAATTACTCCTGCCATGATGGCTATGCGCATACGTCAGGGTCTGATCAGGTCACGTGTCTAGACACGGGTAATTGGGATGTCGCAGATATGACATGTGAAGGTAGATTATGAAAAGAAAACAATTATGCATTGATCAATGAGAAATAAATGATTCCTCAAACTAAGCCCTGTGGGGATTTCTGGTTAGAATTGTTCCCCATGGTATCATTTAGAAACACATGCAAAGGCAAGTCAATTGTTTACTGGAGGTGGTGAGGTGAAAAGGTGTTTAACGCCTCAAGATTATTGCACATAATATAACGACATGCATTCACGTATGAGTAAGTGAGTGACTATTGTTTTACGCCGCTTTTAGCATTACAAAAATTCTCACTGATGCATCACATTTGGAAACATCCTCCACTTGCCAACCATAAGACATTTTTTTTTACGCGATTCGCTGTGCAGAGTTGCGTCCCTTGGGCACGCCAGAAACCTATGATTGTGGGTTCGAATCCCGGTTCGCTCTGATTATGTTTTTAGGTTTGTCAGCACCATACCCGTGCTCGTGGGTTTCACCGAAGTGGTAAACGTCTGAGACCTGCATCACTTCGGGCTTTCCTCCCACATTAAGCTGACACGCCGCTATATAACTGGAATACTGTTAAAAGCGGCGTTAAACCCAACTCACTCACTCACTCATTTCTTTTTGAGAGCTCAACTGAGGCCTTGTATATTGTAACGTTAATCACAAACTTAAATGTGTTGACAAAGGGGGTGTAGGCGAGTGTCATTGAGCGTCTTAGTGCGTGTATGAATATTTGAAATTATGATTCATGGTTGAGAGCCTTTATTCCTGCCCTGATTTTACAACAATATTTTTTTCAGTCGACTGTGGAGATCCCTCGCCAGTAGATCACGCAGACATCTACGTCAACTTAACATGGCTGGGTCAGACCGTCAATTACTCCTGCCATGATGGCTATGCGCATACGTCAGGGTCTGATCAGGTCACGTGTCTAGACACGGGCAATTGGGATGTCGCAGATATGACATGTGAAGGTAAATGATGAAAACCAATATGCATTAATGAATGATTCAACGTGATAGATAGACCGTCGATATTTCGGATCAGAATTGGCTCATAACATCCTGTGCTATTTGTAAGATGCAACTTAATTATAATGAATCAGGCGCTTAGATTCGATGAGCTGTTTGGTTGCGTGTAATTATACCCCAAACGGCATATAAATCGTTGGATTGTATGGTCCAGACTCGATTTTTTACAAGCCGCAGCCATAAATCTGGAATATTGCTGAATGTGGATTTAACAAATACAAACAAAATAGAAGCTGGTATTTTAATCCGAGCTTAGATAAACAAACATGCCAGATAGTTACAAAACCCAATGGCAGGAAGGGGTATACCCTCAAATGTAAAATGCATTCTTAATCGTCGTCGTCGTCATCATCACCATGGTCCCCAATACGTTGATCTACTTTCAGAGGATGGCGATGTACAGCCCGTTTTTATCATGTTATTGTTATGTATAGTGCTATCCTTTTTTATTATTCCACACTGGTTTTATATCTTTTTCTGTGATAAGTGTATTTATTTACTGTCGTTCTTTGGTATGTTTTTATATAAGTTTCAAAGCATTTATAATGTTTAACCCTTGATGGTCACGATATTGCCGATGTGACTTAAAATTAAACTCACTCACTCGTCATTCAGACGCTTTCACTTGCGATAATCCTGCGCCCCCTGCCTCATATACGAATACAAACATTGAACATCGACGGGGACGACCCAATTATGGACAAATATTGCTACATTATAATTTCCTTGTAATGCACTTCATCACTATTTACTTGCAGTGGACTGTGGAAACCCCCCTCCGGTCCTCAACGCAGGGGTAACCGTTTCCGGCACGTGGCAGAACAACGTTGCACAGTACGTATGTCACGACGGGTTTACATCATCAGGGTCAGCATTGGTCACTTGCCTGCAGAACGGGAGTTGGGAAACTCATTCTTATACGTGTGAAGGTAGACTTGCAGTTATTATTGATTAGAATTATTATTACGTCATATATTCATTACATTACGTCATCTGAACAATAGGCTGCCTTCAGTGAAGTTTCTCTGTAGGGTTCACATTTCATACTTTTTTTCTTCATTTTTTCTCTCCAAAAATATCAATGAGTAATATAAAGAATAACCTACTCGAAACTCGTTAATACGGATGATCTGTCCCTTGTGAATGAGTGCTACAACTACCTCGCCAAAGGCTCATTCATTCACATTATTCATTCAGATAATCCACAGATCCTCGTAGCTCGTTGGTTATATAGTAAGTATTTCATAATTCTGACATATTGTTTAGAGGATTGTAAGATAAAGTCATGAAGTAATGGTTGATCACTCTCAGAGCAGATTATGTTCTGGAACGCCGTGATATAACTGTAATACTGTTAAAAGCGGCGTAAAACCGTACTCACTCACACACTTATGTCCTGGACGGGTTTGCTTTTGTTAATATGCCAAAATGCAGATGGCAAAAACGATGATATGTCAGTTTTAGATATGAATTTATATATACTGACCTCTTCAATGAAAAACATTCAAACAATGTCTTTTCATTATTCAAAATGAATCATTTTTACGAAAGGTAGTGTAGACTTTTCCATAAAACAACAAACCCGTGAAGATCCGGATTAGAATAGGTATTCAGCATCTCATGCTTGTCGTAAAAGGCGACTATGCTTGTCGAAAAAGGCGACTTACGGGATCAGGTGGTCAGGATCGCTGACTTGGTTGATGCATGTCATCGTATCCCAATTGCGTGGATCGATGCTCATGGTGTCAATCACTGGATTGTTTGTTTGTTTGTTGTTTAACGCCATACTCATCAATATTCCAGCTTTATGACGGCGGTCTGTTAATAATCGAGTCTGGACCAGACAATCCAGTGATTGACATCATGAACATCGATCTACGGAATTGGGATCGATGACATTCATCAACCAAGTCAGCGAGCCTGACCACCCGATCCGTTAGTCCCCTCTTTCGACAAGCAGAGTTTTGTTTTCGCCATCGAAATAGCAAAACCGCGGGAAGCCTTAACCGTGACCAGTCAAACTTTTCCTTACGTTGGTTGCGTTGTTGTTTTACGCCGCACTCAGCAATATTCCAGTTATATGACGGCGGTCTGTAAATAATCTTGTCTGGACCAGACAATCCAGTGATTGATTTCACGAGCATTGATCCACACAACTGGGATCGATGACATGCATCAACCAAGTCAGCGACACGACACGCATAGTCGCCTTTTTCCATACGTAAATAGAATCCGGCAATAGTAATGAGCTATGCAAAAGCGCTTCAATTATTTTAAATTTTTAGATATATATAGTTAAAGCTACGCAGAGACTGTCCGGCAATAGTAAACAAGAACATATCTTGGTTTGACCTCACAATAATCATTTGTACAGTTCCTTTTAAAAAAAACATTTCCCATGTTGATCTAAACATCCACCCATCCGATCATAATAAAATGACTTTTGAAATTACAATTCAGTTTCTCTTATTACAGGTGTGTTACCTTTGACTACATCGTCACTGAGGCAAAATGAATTACCAGTTGACAGATACGGAAGAACACGCTCTGAAAGATGTATCTGTAGATGCATCAACAAAGAGCCTAGAAAACAAGAAGACATTTTGGCAGAAATATCCAAAAATCTGACTTTGAACACGAAGAGCCTGATGTCCAACGTCATGACAAAGGAAAGCCTTCCGGACGAGAGGAATTCAACTCATGGCATGGCCTATGTCGCAATGTCAATTATTGGAACTTTGTTCGGAGTGGTGTTCTTTTCGGACATATATTACTTCATTAGCGGAATAAAAAGACAGCTCAGCGTTCGTCGATGACGAATCTTATGAGGCATAATCGAAACGAAGTTCGGCCGATAAAGGAAAAATATACAAGAAAACAGCGTTATCACTATGCCCCACCACGGGGCACATTAAGAGTTTGTTTGTTCATATAGTACCGAACTTAAACTATATAATAGAGTCCTATAATGCCTTAAGAAGAAATATGCACTTGGGTTACTTTATGTCATCAGTAAAAATGATTAAATGTGAAATATATACACACAAAAGTCCCCTTCTTTGGAAAACATAACTCAGTATTTGTCAAGTATCACTTAGATAAGCTTACTTTAGCATGTTTAGTTTCTTAGAAAACTTATCACCATTGCACACACTATGCACTAAGTAAAACACCATGGATCAAGGGCCGTAACTCTGTTAAAAGATAATTTACCGGACCAATTTTTAAACGGATTTCACAAGTATCTCTTAGTGATAAGCATACAAACTTTCATTCATGTAAGTTCTGTAGTTCCTGAGAAAACTTGTCCCCATTTCACACAGTATGCACTAAGTTGAAAGGCATGGAGCAAGGGCCATAACTCTGTAAAAAATGAATTTACGACACCAATTTTCGAACTCATTTGGGATCATGACCAGTAAAATTAGTGTATAAAATGTCTCTGACTTTTTAGAAAATGTGTCCCTTTTGAGAAGCGGACAGACGAACTCTGTTCCTATAGCCCCCGCCCAACTTCATGGCGGGGGATAAACACTCTCCCTCATTTCCGCCAACACTACGCCACACACTATCCCGCACTCACACAACCAACACCCGAACGTAGTGAGTGAGTTTTGTTTTACACCGCGTTTAGCAATATTCCAGTAATATCACAGCGGGGGGACACCAGTAATGGACTTCACACATTGTACCCCTGTTTGGGAATTGAACCCGGATCTTCGAAGTAAATCCTGCTGGGGTATCATGCAGGAAGCAGAGGTACTGTACATGTAAGTCCCCATGATTCCCAGCGAGGTGGCCTAGCTTTGGTTACTGGTGGACTATAGCCCGTGTTTTAAAACTGTATAGATAATATTGTTATGCTAAAATATGTTTCATGAATTTTTTCTAAATATAGTATGCTTATATATGTTTTACAACTTGTTTTTAAATAAAACTTTGCATTAATAACTAAATTGTAAATATATTAACTTGGTCTTGTCGCAAAATGGCTGAAATAATGCCGATGCAACGTTAAATTTTAACTCTATATCAATCAGTTTATTCAGTACTTAAAAGGCCACAGGCCTATAGTACAAAGCGTATTTACATGTAGGTGACGTGGTTGTTGACTAACAATTCTGTTTCTATGTGACATAGCGTGATAAACATATGTTGACAGGTTACATAACATAGTATCATTAGATGAAGTTAAAAGATCTACAAACTTATGGACATTCGGGTGTACAGAGTAGAAAGATGGCAAATATTTATCGAGTAAATGTTTGTAAGCTTGACATACCAGGAGAAAGTGAAGCTCATCTTCAATTGAATTTGTGTTACACAATGTGCATATTCAGTCTCTTCTATCAGTGTGATTATATCTACCAGTCTCTATATACAGGTTGTGAGAGGAACATCTAAATCGTGCTAGTGCAATTCTAAATATTTTAAAGTCAAGTTTACAGAGGTACGCCTCAATTTCAATATTACTTTTCATGATTCTATGATATAAACATTTATTTGATTTGGACATTAATTCTAACCATTTCTGCAAATACATATATAAAATTTTAGTCTCTGGGTGAAGGACATTAAAAAGAGCGGTTCTGATTCTACACACTGATTATACCACACATAATTAAAACCCGTAATAAATAATAATTCTTTTACGTTTGTTACCCAATTTCGTTTTCCAGTACTGTCGTAGAGTTTTAACATGTCATAACACTTCCTAGGGTTTCTATCATTAGTCATGTTTATCAAACGAAGCCAGTATTTAATAACTTTAAGGTAGGATTGAATATACAGCGGATATCGTCCCGTTTCTCCATATACCGGTACCATTATGCTGGACGTACTATTTTTAACTCCTAAATATTTCTTGCAAACAAACAAATGTACTTTTTCAATTTGATCATGAATTTTTGTACCCCAGATTTCAGCACCATAGTGTAGTATTGGAATTATCTTTATATTTTTAAAATATGATCTAAATGTTTACTCACACACTCACTCTTCGTCGTGACAAGCCAACGCCTTAACCACGAAGCTACCCCCACCGTTCCGTATTTCTTGTAGAAGTCTTATTGCAGACGCGCAATTATTTCTGTAGAATTGAATAACTATTAGTTTTACATCTTAGGTGTGCCAGAAACCTATGTTCGTTGCTTCTTATCCACATTAATATGATTATGTTTCTAGGTTTGTCAACACCCTACCTGTACTCGTCAGGTGGATAGACATGCGTTATGTCTTGCTTTCCCAAAACACCCAGCTGACTGTACATTCCTTGATGTAACTGAAATATTGTTCAAAGTTCATTTAGTTTGTATATTTTGTATATCACATGCTTCATGACACTTGGTCCCAGCATCGCTACATTGTAATAAATAAGTCTATACCATCTTGTCATGTTATGTTCTCCAGTTGGACACAAAGACAACAAGAGTCATCAGAGGATGACAAATCCCCCCGGCACCAACAAGTGCGAAAGAGCAAATCACCTGAAGTCCAACTTAATGAGAGAATTTCTAATCTGTCTGTGCATATACAAGAGTAGTTTTTGAGCTATAAAGACAATACTATGGAATTGGGATTCAGAACTTTGTATTTCTATGTCAGTCAAAATCAAACTTGTTGCCATGGAAACAAGATATATATATATATATATATATATATATATATATATATATATATATATATATATATATATATAAATTCTAAAAATCCCTAAATAGCAAAAGGCACCAGTTGATAACCTGGTCTTTGTGTGTGTACAGTTTCAAGAAAGAATACCTTTTAGTTTTAGGTGTATGGTCCAGACAAACACACATTTATGAACAGAGTCAAAGTCAA